AAATCTTTCCGGAAATAAACGCAAATGTGGCACGAAATCGACACGTCAACTATACAGAAAGTTAACGGCGGTATAAGCAACTGAACCATCAGAAGATACGGAGAAAATCTTAACTGGAAAATGAAATCGGAACAGAAAATACCAAAACACGACGGTTTCGAAATTGAGAAGGGGGAATGTGCCTTACCTTGCGTACAGCAATATCTCGAAAAGTCTCGTCGGACGAAAACGGCTCCGCGTCGTCCGAAAATCAACTTTTCCAAGATTTCTCTCGACTTTCTCTCTCCTCAAAAGATATTTTCGTTTTTTAAAAATTTTCTCTCTCTTCAAAACGACTTATTTCAGCTTTATAAAACTCAGATCGGCCCGGCCGATCGCCATATCGTTCCGGGAAGATCAGACCAATTTCGATCGTCCTGGACGTTTCCCAGAACTATTTTCATGCCGATATTTTGAACAGTGCAAATCGGTCTGGCCGATGCCTCTATCGGCCCGGACGATCTCTACAGAAAACACCTGAAGCAAATCTAGGCAAATTCTGGAGCAAATTTTCAACTGATCGTCCCAGGACGATCCCAGATCGTCCTGGATGAACTTGGAGCAGATTTTGATATTACAATCTCCCCAACTTAAAAAAAAATGTCTTCCTCGACATTAACCAATCCAAACTCAGTCAAAACAAGTACGGGTACGACTGTCTCATGTCAGACTCCTTCTCCCAAGTCGTTTCCCGTGTAGTCCGGTGCTTCCACTGGACTTTAACCATCTGAATCTGTTTATTTCTTAACTTTCGGACGTCGTACGCTAAAATCAACTCTGGCTCTTCCTTGTACGCCAGATTCTCCTGGATCCCAACTTCGTCAGCTGATACCTTCTTCCCAGAGTCGGAAACCCACTTCCTCAAAGTGGATACATGAAACATATTATGTACGTCAGACATCAAATCAGAGAGCAACAGTCGGTAAGCAGATTTTCCAATCCTTTCCAAAACTTCAAAAGGTCCAACATATCTTGGATTAAGCTTGCTCATCTGGCCAAATCTACTCACACCCTTCATCGGGCTGACTGTGACATACACAAAATCACCAACTTTAAACTCGACAAACCCGTGCTTCTGATTGTAATACTTCTACTGTCGATCCTGAGCAGCTTTCAATCTTTCTTTTATCAAACTGATTTTCTTAACAGATTCCTCAACAAAAGTGGCACCGAGTTCCTGTCTATCTCCGACCTCAGTCAGAGTCAAAGGAGTACGGCACTTCCTGCCATACAGAGCCTCGTACGGTGCCATGCCAATACTGGACTGAAAACTGTTGTTATAAGCAAACTCAATCAACGAGATATGATCCTCCCAGCTTCCGCCAAAGTCCAGAACATATAACCTCAACAGATCTTCCAGCACCTGAATAGTCCT